ATTGCACACGGGACAAAACAAGAAATTCTGTGTTTGATTTAGCATGTGGTGGCCTGAACCGCTGTACGACCCGAGGGAAGCCGCTCAAATACAGTCAGGGCACAGAGGGTGTATTTTACACCTCCAGGTCGTGTTTTATCAGTCTGCTCTGAAATTGGATTTAAAAACGTACTGCGCAGGTGAGCATTTCTTAGAGCGGTGCCTCCTCATATTTCCCTCCCAATTTCCCTCAAGACTTTGTCAGGATTTTGTTTTGTAGAAGTGTGTCTGTCTCTTTCGTCTGATATAATGATGTAGAGAATTTAGTCTTCAGGTTATTGTATCAGTACATCTTGTCGTACCAGAGGTGGTACACTGGGAGCATGCATATGTCTCCATGCAAGGAGCCACACATATGGTTAAACCTAGGGCAACTTATGTGTTTTACTGAAGTTTGTAAAAAGGTATCTGATGACCAAAGTATGAATTATGAGACATTTGAATCTGCAGGAAGCAGTACCTAAAAGCATGACCTGCTAATAACAAGCAGGCCTGATTGATTGGGCTTTTAGTGGCTTACAAGGCTGATGTTGATTCAGTATATTTCACATGGGGACATTTAAACATTCATTTTGTTTTTCATATCTAGCTGTATTTTCTGTCTTAAATGATGCAAAAAGCAAGCACATTACAGCAACAGAAAACATTTCAATTGTGTCGGAGTGATCAATAATTCAGCAGAATGTGTTCAATATCAGGCTGCTGCATCCTGAAAGGAAATTCTATTCCAAGCAGAGGTGCAACACTTAAAGTATTGTTTGCTCAGAGAATCATTTCTTCACAGCAGTGAAAATCTGCTGTGGATAAATGATTCTCTGAACAAACAAGACTGAACAAACACTGGTGAATAACCAAAGAGCTCCTGGGAATTGACAGCATCTTAAATTAAAGTGTGTCATTAGACGTTATGTAGGTACATATGGATTGCAAACAGAAAAAAAACAACAGAAAAAAACCAACAGACTAATAGAGCAGGTTAATAAGGACAGTAGATGCTAGGTACCCCGTCAACTGTAGTTAAGGTAGTAGTAAAGGTTTTTTTTGCCTTTAATGGATGAGGAGAGACAGGAAATGGGGGAAGAAAGAGAGGGGATGACATGCAGGACTGCAGGTTGGAAATCGAACCATGGCGCGCTGCGATAGGCACTCAACCTTAGTACATGGAGCCCACGCTCTACCAGCTGAGCTACCAGGGCAGCACAAGCAGTAGTATTATATAACACTTAAAGTGCTATAAAAATATAATGTTTTTCCACCAGCTCCAGAGGGAAACATCTGGCTCTTAAGCTGCTAAATTCTCCAGCTGTGTTCACCAGATACTTGCAAACTTTGTCTGCTGTTTGGTGGTGGCAGTGTTGCCAGATTGGGTGGCTTCACACCCAATTGGAGCACTTTTTTATTTGACTGGGCGGAGAAAAATCTTTTTTGGTGGCTTGTGATAATTAGGTCCGTTACCCCCGTTGTTAGTTTGGCTGTGTTCCACTCCTCCTCTCAGTACTGATATAACACAAACACAAAAAAACAAAATCAAATGACATTTAAGTTTATTACAGCTCCTTTTTCAAGTTATTATTTCGGCAAGGCCTGTGATAAAAGCTCTATATAGCCGAATGTAACAACAGAATTGGGTGATAATTCGAATGATAGCTCTGCAACGCCTTACACATAGTGATTTGATTCACACTTAATATAAAAATATTGATTAGGGCAGCTCTAATAATGTCTTTAAAAGGTCGACAACATCAGGAGGCTGTGTAAGTACAAAGTGGACACATAGCTGTGTGCACTTGAAGATTGATGTGTCACCTTTGTTGAAATGAAACCGTGTCATGTCTGTGTCTGTGTGACACTGAAAGGATCACACAAGACAATAGAGCTGAGGTAATCGAGGGATTAAGCTAAAAGTAAACTTTTTACCTGAGTGTCACGCATCAATGCCAGTTCACTCACATTTTGTTACAAACGCTGTAATCTGCCTCCTGGTGTAAAAACCGACACAAGACTCATTCTCAGTAAAATGAGACGCATCTGAATGTCTTTTTTTTTTTATCTCCCAGAGCCCGTACACAAAACACACACTTAGAGCAGGCCGCTTGTATTGGCTATAATTTAATCAGGCTGGAACAGTGTCTGGGCTGCGGGTGGTTCTGATAACGACGTGGACGGCTCCTCGGAGAGCTCGTCATGTGGATTCAGGAGGTCTCCCGGCAGGCGCCTCTTTTGTTGTTGGGGAATGAGGGGCTGATAAGCAGGGCACCAAAAATCACCCGTGGAGAATGAGGGGTGGGGGGACGGCGGAGGAGCAAGACAAAGGCTGTTAAATTTAACCGCCAAGGGCATAAAGCCACACTCCAACTCTGATTGATTTCCTCCCCAAAGTCGATGATGTTCAACCAGTTACGGCTTGTAAAGAGACCGCTTCTGTCTCTCACTTCTTTATCACAGTGTCTTTGTGTCTGCGTCCTCATCCGCAGTCCGACACACACACACACACACACACACACACACACACACACACACACACACACACACATATATACATACACCACCAGTGTTCCGAGCAGTGCTAATGTAAGAGTGTACCATAACTGGGCTGTAATCCTGACCCCATTCATTCACACCTGTCATTAACCTGCAGCATCTACCCAGACTGTGTCCTTATCTGATGTGGCCGGATTACATTTACAAGTGCTCTTAAAATGCATCTCTGAGATACTGAGCACTGAAATTCAGTTACGCTCTCGCTCGCTAAACGCAGGTCAGAATGCAACACTCCTGTCTAGAAGAAGAATTTGAACTTTGCAGATTTTAATATGAGTGTTATGCAGTAGATATAAAGTTTATTTATGAGTTTTTGCACCTTACTGCACTATAATACAGCTCTCACATGTTTGGGCAAAGTTTCCTTCCCCTTTATTTCTGCTGATATAAATTTATATTGTTAATTTGATTTCCTGACTGCTTTCTGTGTTGATTTATTCTCTGTTTTTATGATACGTTGTGTGTGTGTGTGTGTGTGTGTGTGTGTGTGTGTGTGTGTGTGTGTGTGTGTGTGTGTGTGTGTGTGTGTGTGTGTGTGTGTGGGGGGGGGGGTTCTACAAATTGATTTGATATTTGAATATGAAACACAGCTGTACTCTTTTTGATCTAGTGTCTATTTTCAGTGATGGAAATCTTAAACATGGTACTCTATATAGACACTTGAACATTAATATGCGATTGCTGAACATCTCATTCCAAAAGCCCGGGCGATAACGTGCTGCTATAACAACTGGGATGGATTTCTACAATACCTAGGAGCTCGGCTGCTCCCTGAAATTTGCTCCCATTAAACCACAGGAGCACTGTTGAGGTCGAGCACCGATGTTGACCGATAAGACCTTACTGGCAGCAGGTGTTCAAGTTCATCCCAAATGAGTTGGGTGAGGTTGAGGTCAGGGCTCTGCGCAAGCCAGTCAAGTCACTCATTTATTTTTTTGACATTTTTAATCTTTTTACAGTGACAGTAGAGGTTGATGGGAAACATGGGGAGAGGGGGTTCTCCAGGGGAATTAAACCAGGGATGTTGTGGTCGCTGTATATCTTAGCCAATCAGCCAACAGGACACCGCAGAAAACCCATTTTTGTATGAAACATGCTTTGTATCCGAGGGCATCATCGCTGTCAAACAGGAATGTGCTTCCCTGAACGGTTGCCACAAAGGTGGAAGCACACTGTTGATGTCAGAAATATCATGGTAGATTTAACAGGAACGAAGGTGCCTAGCTCAAATGAGGAGGTACAACAGCTCTGATCCAAGTAGTATACAGAAGTATGTGGACAGTAGTGTCCACCGTATAGTGTACTTGCATTGGACGTAATTGTTCATTCTCACATGTTTACCAATCTTGCCTTGCCTGCTCCATCAGTATCTTCAGATTCAGAATCAATTTTGTACTGAAGCTGGAATGATGCTCCTCCAGGCTGCATGTAGGTTTACATGGCTGTTTGTTTAATACTCTTGTGTACAACTTCATCACTGTGTGACCTTCATTTTTTTGTCTCTTTTTTTTTTTTTTAACCTGCCTCCGGACAGAAGGTGAATCAATCAATCAGCTTGCTTGGCACGCAGGTCCACATAATGTGTTGTTGAGATCTAAAAGTTACGCGCGTTGGCGCCTCTATGAGCTCCTCTGATCTGTGGACACCCGTAATAATTTTCTCTGTGTAGGTTTGCATAGATGTGCATCTACAGAGAAGCCTTATAATACCAGTTTAATATGTTACTGTAGAAGCTGGCTGCTTACTGTTTGTATTTACATGCACGAGTTGATTGTCTGTATGTCCAAATATGTCTCATTCCACCTCCACAGCTGTTTTTTTTATGATCACGTCCGCATTCATCCTTCATCCATTTCTACCAGGATTTCTTTTGTGCAGAAAATCTGATTAGTCTCACCATTAAGGGTGCTAATATCAGGTGTTAAGACGGTCTCTGACCCACCTGTTGCTGGCCCTAACCGCGGCTGTGCTGCAGGGCGGCTGAAATGCAAGTCAAGTCACATCTCTGTAAATATATCTCAGTCTGACCACCTGGATTAGGTTTCAAATGTTTGTATTTTTATCGTTCCTCTGGTGACAAGATGTCACAACAAGTTTCACACCGTCTCCCTCTACCACATGCTGTCATAAAACAGAGTAAACAACTTCCTGTTACTGGCTTGGTGCAGCTCCCAGAGTTGTTGGACAGAAAATTGTACCCCTTTGTTACTTTGTGCATGGTTGCATGTTTACTGTGACAACCACAGTCAGCAGATGATTATTTTCTCTCAAGTCTTATCTGTTCCATTTTGAATTTCAGCATGGATGTATGACATTAAAAAGTGAAATGCTTGCATGAAACTTATTGCAGTTATAGTCTCCTTACTTTTAATGTTCTGTGGTTATAAACTGTGTGTGTATGTGTCTGTCTGTTTGTGCAGGGAGAATGAGGTCCTGAAGGTCCAGTTGAAGAAGTATGTGGGGGCGGTGCAGATGCTGAAGAGAGAGGGGAGCCAGGGCAATGATGGTAAACATCACTCACACTCACACACACACACACACACACACACACACACACACACACACACACACATGCATCATTATGACCTGAAATTAGATTTCATATCTGTGTCCCAGTCCATCTATTTTGCTCTCAAACAGAAACGCTCATAGATGCTCACATAGAAAAATAAGGTCATCAGTTTCCTCCACATCCCAGATCAGTTCAGATGCATTTCTCAGGGGCTCAGATGACTAACCTCCGTTTTTACTGTGTAAAGCCTCGTCAAACAGAGCGAGCCTCTCACTCCTCTGTCTCTCGGACTCCGACTTCTCCTTTTTTGTTTTTTGTTTTAGGGTAGATTTGATAACTTTGACTTTGTTTTCCCATTCCCAGGGGATGTGAGCGGTGCTCTGTGTAAAGACTGCCGAGATAAGCCCCTGCTGTATCAAAGGCAAATAAAATGAACATGGCAGATTATAGAGGGCCACATAATAGCTAATTGCATTTTTGGGGGAGTAGAAGGGGGAGCGGTTATCTGTGACGCCCCGAAGGGTTTATGTGTTTGTGAGACAGAGAGGTAAAGAGATGTGTAGAACTTTGTACCATCAAGTTAAATGATGTTTTATGTTTGTTTTTTTAAAAGGTCATAACAACTCTTTGCTACTGTTAGTGATGCAACATAACTCCAGCATGGATTGTATTGATTGTGTTCTCATTTATTTCTTTATTTTATTCATGTAGGCGGAAAGAAGGATGTTTTTTACAGCATCATTTTTGCCATCATTTCTGTCTGTGGTAAAAACATTGCAACGGCGGTACACAGGTCAAAGCTGAAGCTGGATGTTGGTCTGTGAACAGTGATGTAAGCCAAGTTCCTTACAGTGATTGTTGTAATGGCAATAACGTCAAAAAGAATAACATTACTTGTTACTTTGCTGTTGTGACTCAGCTCATTCAATGGAGCCTCAACAGATAATGTTACATTATCACATTACTGCCTTACAGAGATCGTCATATTACCCAGCCGTGCTGGGAGGAATGTTAACAACAGATAGTTTGCTTAATGATTTCACCATTCGCCTTTGTTTTACGTGTAGTTTTGAGTTCTAACGGTCCCACCACACGTTAACAAAGTACAGACCTGTGTAACCTCGGCCTGCAACGACGACATGTTTAAAACATCACAACGGTTTCACATTTCATCCTTCTGCTTCTTGGCAATTACCGTGTTCAGCCTGTCAAACAGGGCCGCCTGGCCCGCTGACACCGGAGAGCACGGCAGGGAGGAACACTGATGATGAGAGATGATTGGAGGGAGTAGTGGTGAATCGCTAACCCATGAAAAGGCACATATATTATCAGGAAATAGCCATCACCCAGCTCAACTGCAAACCTGTTCTGGGTTGTCATCAAACCGCGATGCTTCTCTCTGGAGTTTGTGCTTCTCCTCGTTTGATTATTTTTTTTTTGCCTTTCTTATTTTTCCGCCACTCATTATCTTTCTTGCACATGTTGACTTTTCATCCCGCCTTCATTTGTACCCTTTGCCTCTCCTTTTTCACCCCTCCTTCATCCCCCTTGTCTTCCCCTCTCCTTCCTTCCCCGCTCCCCTCATCCCGACAGCCGTAGTAATTCCCTCTCCACAGCGGCGTCTAAATGATTTCATCCTCCCTCGCCTCTGTCTTCTCCTGCTAATGATGTGCCTCGTTCCATCATACTTTGATGTTGACTACCACAGTCTTCTGGTGTGTGTGTGTGTGTGTGTGTGTGTGTGTGTGTGTGTGTGTGTGTGTTGGGAGTAGAGGAGGAATAATGTTTGAGCAGTTTAGGAGGAGCAAAAATCGGGGAGAAAAAAAAGACGAGGATGAATTGATGCACAAGCGCCCCTTTTTCATGTGCTGTCAGCATGCTTCCCCGTGATCAGTGTGCTGCCTTTTTGAAACCCCTCCTGTCTAATGATAGCGCTACAGACGTGATCTCTCGAACGCTCCTCAGGCACTGTCAGCCCCACTGACATCCCACAAAAGACGATTCCCCTTTCTACTGTTTCAGAGAATGGATAATTATTCTTTCCTGCGTGATGCCTCCTATCTCTGTTTGTTTGGGGGATTTCCCCCCTCTACTTATACTTCGAGAGAGTAGCACGTTTGTGGTACTTTATATTCTTTGCATGAATGCGGATAACATTGCTGTATAAAATGTGATAACATGCATGCATCCAATTTGAAAATCTGTGTATGTTGCTATAGTAGACAGCACGACACACACTTTACAAGTCACATTAACATAGCTCCAATTTGTATAATTTAAGTGAGTCGAATGTTTCAGTGCTTTCGGTAGGTGTGTGTGTGTGTGTGTGTGTGTGTGTGTGTGTGTGTGTGTGTGTGTGTGTGTGTGTGTGTGTGTGTGTGTGTGTGTGTGTGTGTGTGTGTGTGTGTGTGTGTGTGTGGGTACGTTTGTGTATTTGTGCATTCACATGTGTGTTTGTCATTAAGAGAAGCCATTAGCCGATTCCCAGAGGACTTGTAGTATAACAGTGACAGTCATGTTTACTGTAAGGCAGAGTTAGATGAAGAGAAATCTCCAGGGAGAGAAGCCGAGCAGCACATGTAGCATTATCAAACGCACACTAACCCAGTTTTACACAGTTCCCCTGGCTCTCGAACATCCTTGAAGGTTCGCACAAAAACGTAATGAGTCTATACAAGTTTTTTTTTTACATAAATCGCTGGGCAAGAAAGAGCCGTGTGATGATGTAAATCCTCTGAAGGACTACAGTATTTATTATAATTGTTGTTAGTTTCAACCAGATGATGTATGTTTGCACCCAGTTTCATAATTTTGCTCTGACTCTGCATCTTTCTCTGTTTGGGACCCAATCCAGAATGAACCTGTGGAAAACTTACTCAAACAATAAAAAAATATTTGCAACATGAAAGGTACCAAACTGGATCTGAATAGACCCAAGGATAAATACACCTGCAGTCAGTCCAACACAACAACAGAGATTGGGATGGGTGTGTTCAGCTCTTTTCTCAGGCGCTGGATGTTTAAGGTCACTGGGAAAAGAAAAGGTTCTAGTTGTGGCAGTCCATTGACTTACGAGAGGTGAGTCTGTGTGAAACAGTGAGGGTTAAGGATGGCGTGACTTGAGATAGAGTGCTTTTGTCTGAAGTCATTGACAGAGGGTCAGGATTGGAAACAAAGGCGTTCACTGGGTAAGAAAACATTTGTTTTTCTCAGAGAGCCTGCGCTGCCTCATCCTTCCGTGGAAGCTCTTTGTCTCTCTGTAGATAATGTTCCAAGGCGTTTCACTCTCCCAGGGGGAAGGCTTAGTGGCTGGCTGTTTGACTGACTGCTTTACCTGGGGGATTGATTCCCAAAAGGGGGATAGTCACTGGACCTGGAGAAATGGGTTTCGCCTCCTCCCCCAGGGATGACTGATTGCTGCACATGATCAGCTGGAATTGGCCTGCTGTGGTATCTGCACAAAAAGCCTGGGATAGGGATCAGGACCTACTTACTGACCTGTCGAGTGCTGGCTTGGCACTCACAATGCTCGATAAAGGGTCAGAGGCCACTTAGTCTGGCGAGATGGAATTTCCCTCTCTGTGAGAGCTCTGTGATTTTTCTATTTCCTCTCATTTTTATCTATGCAGTCCATTATTCCATTACAGTAATGCTCCTTTTTTCATTAAAAATGGGAAGGAGTGACTTTAAGATGTAAAAGAAAAATCGACAATAAGAAAATTAGCTTTGTTTGTTCCAAATGTTTGTCTTTTAAACATTATTTGTAACCCGTGTATACTATGTGTTTTTTTATTTCTTTTTATGATTTATACTTTATGTGTAAATAACCCCCTCCTGTTTATTCCCCCCCTCTCACCTGTGTTCTCCACAGGGGATGTCAGCAGTCGCAGACCTGCCCTTTTGATTCATTCTGCTTTTTGCCTGTCACTGCGTACGTGTTTAATTCGCCCATAAATAAACCCGCCGCGGACAGCAGCTTATTCATCTCCAATAAGGAAATGGATTACATGGCCGTTTAAAACCCAATAAGCTTCCCTTGCTGTGCCTTGGTCTCTCCTGCTCTCTCCGACAGCCAGTGGCCTAATGAGTGAATGAGAGGCATTTGTCACCGCTGCCTGCCCTAATAGGAGTGTGTAACTTATTCATTACACACATAGATCTGCATTTATTGTCCCTCTGTGCCCTTGTACGGCCTCAGGGAGGTCAGGCATCCTGCTGTGAGAGGTGTGTGTGTGTGTTTCTGTTTATGTGCACAGCTATGAAGGTGTGTTAGCAAGTTAATAAAAACTTGGGATGTAGTTATATTTTCCGGGGCTGACCTGTTTTTGTTAAACAACAATAATGTGTGTGTGTGTGTGTGTGTGTGTGTGTGTGTGTGTGTGTGTGTGTGTGTGTGTGTGTGTGTGTGTGTGTGTGTGTGTGTGTGTGTGTGTGTGTGTGTGTGTGTGTGTGTGTGTGTGTGTGTGTGTGTGTGTGTTTTATTATGGAGGTGGATTTTCATTACTAACAAGTAGCTGAGTGTGTTTGGGGGGTTAATATGAGAAAAGCAGGTCACAGTGTCGAGAGGAGGGTTATTATGAAGCAAATTTGTGTAGGTATGTGTTTTGTCAGGGAAAATGTGCATATGTGTGCACATTCATATACTGTGTTAGTGTTAATTGTCTGCCATGTCCCTTTGAGCGAGTGTAGGTGAGACGTGTGTGTGTGTGTGTGTGTGTGTGTGTGTGTGTGTGTGTGTGTGTGTGTGTGTGTGTGTGTGTGTGTGTGTGTGTGTGTGTGTGTGTGTGTGTGTGTGTGTGTGTGTGTGTGTGTGTGTGTGTGTGTGTGTGTGTGTGTGTGTGTGAAGCCTAAATTAAACCGTGCATTAGCGGCTGTAGGTGGGTATGATACTGTTGTAACTGGTGTGTAAGTGGTTATGTTATAAAGTTATTTACATCCCAGTAGGTTGACTGTAAAAGAGCAAGTGATGAGTCATTCTCTATGTGAATTGAGAT